AGTGGAATTCAGATGTATGCATCCGAAGAAGTGGGCTGTAGTCCACGAAAGCTTATGCTCTAATATATTTGTTTAAGTTATCATCCTCTTTAGTATTGCAAACTTTAACGGTTTATTCAAACTTAATTGTCCTTCTTGTAAGAGCCAGAGGTGACCTGATTTGAAAAGTAAACTTCACTGATAAAGGGAGAAAAAGAAATGGTTTACTGGACAGGTGCCCAAGTGTTTGAACTTTCAGCTAGAATATTCTAAAAAAATGTCTGTAGTAGCAAATTCCTTTACACATGTACCACTAAGACTAAAACTGAGTATCTTGAAATCCATTCCCCTGTATTTTAGCATAACCCATTATCGGTTAATTTTAAAGTGTAGTTCTACTGTAAAAACAGAACAGGTTCAGGAAATCTGCTGTCTGTATGTATTTATGTGTTCAGCATCAGAGCAGCTTAATTCACTGACAAAAACCATGCTTGTTTGGTTTTTTACCTTTTTTACTCCAGTGAATTCTGCAGAGACTACAGTTTACAGGAGAATAAGCTGGACTCCACCTTGGCTTGCACATCCTCAGAATGGTTAGCTAAGTGTCAGGTGCCAGGCTATATCCAATGCTCAGTTGCATTCATGACAGGTTTCAGAGTAGCAGCCGTGTTAGTCTGTATCCGCAAAAAGAAGAACAGGAGGACTTGTGGCACCTTAGAGACTAACAAATTTATTAGAGCAAAAGCTTTGTGGACTACAGCCCACTTGCATCCGAAGAAGTGGGCTGTAGTCCACGAAAGCTTATGCTCTAATAAATTTGTTAGTCTCTAAGGTGCCACAAGTACTCCTGTTCTTTTAGTTGCATTCATGTAACTGTGTACAAGACAGCCGAGTTTTACAGATAGCTGATGGAAGGCATACTTAGACTTGTAGAATTTCTATGGGCCACGAGCAGGGAAGAACCCAGTTTGACTTTCATATTCCAAGTTGAGTTTGAGTTTGTCCAAAACCACAACAAACAATGTTTTACGGTTGTGGGACTGATTCTGATCTCAGTTATACCAGGTGTAAATCATGAGCTACTCCACTGAATCAATAGAGTTACAACATTGTAAAGCCAGAATTAGAGAAATCAGAATCAGGCCCGTAATAGAGCAAATACGGAGCCCTGGTCCTGCAACTGCATCCATATAGCGAGCCTGCTACAGCTGTGCAACCCTGCTAGGTTCAGTGGGGTGCTGCAGAAGGATTTGTCCATGCAGCTGCAGTTGCAGGATTGGAGCCTTGATTTGGAATCACTGAGACTTTGATTCAGCCAAGACCCTAAGCACGTATGTAACTTTAAGGATTTAAGTGTTATTCACTTCACACATGTGCCAAAGTTCCTCACTGAATCAGGGCCTGAGATGCTAAATCTGGAACTTACAACACCATTTTTAAGAGGCACTTTTCAGGCTAGAACTTCAGTTCCACAAAAAGTTTCTATTTTTTAGATAATGCTCAAACGGTTGATTTAACTATTTGATAGCTCTATCTTTTGGGCTTTAAATAGAGTCCACAAGAACAAGTGTATGGTGAATGCGTTTTATTTCTTCCTGATTTTAATATCTGACTGGTTTCAGAGTATGCATCCGAAGAAGTGGGCTGTAGTCCACGAAAGCTTATGCTCTAATAAATTTGTTAGTCTCTAAGGTGCCACAAGTACTCCTGTTCTTAATATCTGACTATCACTTGTGAAAAAGAACATCCTGAACAAACAATTCCCGAGCCTGGAAATGAAAGCAAATGGAGATCTATTGCCTTTACAATCTCTCTCAAGTCCATACTACTAGATAATCGAGCCCATGCTTTTTAAAAAACAGTCAGACACATAGCACAGATCGTGAACAATGTAGTGTCATACAGGAAGCAGCAGGCCAGAGAGCAAGACTTGCTCACAGGTCACCGATCTCAATCTCCGCATAGTACTGTAGATTCCTTCTTCAGCTACATGACTTCTCAGTCTTTAGTCAAAGTCTTTCCTGAGCACATCAGCTCAGTGTGGAATTAGTTCTTTGGTGATCTCTTCAGCAGCCTTTCATTCCCTCGCTATTGCTCCCAGATAACTCAGATTTGGAATTCTGAAGGCTTCCCTTATTTTTCTGTCCCATCACAGCCTTTGCATCAGACTTGCAGAGTGAAAAATCAACCCTATGCAGAGGTCACAGGCAAGGTCTCCCCATCACTTAAGGCAAATGATAATGGCCAAATCCTGCCTCCATACCTGCAGAAGGTCCTGTGGCAGCAGAACAGGTCCAGCCTCTGGGGAGCTGTGCACTCCCACCCCTGTGCAACACAGATCCCTACTGTGGGGTTCTCCCTGTGCATCAGCACTTGGTGGCAAGGCCAGAACTGCCACAGTGCACCTCCTTCCGATCTCTGCCCCTTAGCCAGGTGCATAATGGGTGCACAGAGCTTCTCCCACTACAGCCTCATTCCCCAGCACCATTTACTCAACTATTCAGGCATGAGGATTTGGTTCAAAGGAGTTGAGAGGGGGTTATTGTGATGCAGAAGGCCTTGTCAAGCGTTTACTGTGGGGTGAATGTTGCCCAGTATGTCTCAAATGGAGAGACAGTGGGCCAGAACCTCCTCATGATACGGCCTCTTTGCTGCATCTCCTCAGCCAAGGTTTCCGTCCACTGTCATAGCTGTCAACGTGTTACACAAGTCAGTACAGCATGGGACAAAACGGCTGAAGTGTGGAACGCTGGGATTCTGCTGCATGCTGCACTCAAAGGCAGATTATGAAGGTTTTTAACTCCAGAACATTGATGCCAATATTTTCCCTGACTGGGGGGATGAGATGTGGCAAACAAGTAGAATTTAGGGGAAACGGAAAAAAATCTACAGCATAATTTACCCCATTTCTGAACTATTTCTAACTACACAGTTAAAAAAGGGAAGGAAAACTAATATAACACTACAGCAACATTTAGCCCTTTTTTATCAACAAAAAGAACAAGTGGTTTGGAGTGATGTAGCTGAAGTGTAGTTCAGTGCTTGTGGGTAGTTCATGATGTGTGGGCATATGCTATAAGGGGACAAATTCATCCCTCCTGTAATTTCATTGGCCACAGAGGTTTTACACGAGGGATGGATTTAGCTGAGGGACTGTAGCAGGGATCTGAAGCAGTCCATCAGGTGTGTAATAGTGAAGAAGGCAAAAATGATTTTATCAAAGGCTTTTAATTAAGGTCCCATTTCTTCCTTTTTCTACTATCTGAGCAATCTGCTTCCAGTCTCAACTGTGCAAATGGCATATTAAAAGTCAGCAAGTGACCCAATCTTCTGGGTTCCCTTAAAAATCTAGAGCAAGGGCTTTGCTGACTTACACCCTATAAAGCCCTGTTGAAGCCATTTTCTACTTTTGGTAGCTCAATCATGGATTTCCAAGATGGACTATTCTTCAAATGATTATGTTAAATCACCATGGCAAGAAAAATGAGTGGTTCTAATGAAGCTGAAAGGCCATGGTTGGTTTTCTACTCACCCTCAATTTGGGGCTTCCAAGTTAATCTATTTTCATCCCCACTCGATATAGTAACAATAAGCTCAACTTGCTTTCATCAAATGAATGACCTGTTCTAATACTAGCAGCCCTGGCTGCATAAACAGAGTATAGGATTTGAGAGCATAAGCAATCCCTCTACAAGCTCCAACTGAGGGGAGAAGGAGATATAGGAGTCAGAGAAGTTCTATGTTATTCCATGTCATTATATTGTTGCACAATATTATTATGTGCTGGTGTTGTTGCCATTCACCATCCCACTACAAAGTCACAACATAAGGTGGGAAAATATTTGAGGGAGCAATTTTATTCAAAATAGATAATTGGAGAGCCCAAGCCCTCCTCATTATTCCAACCATTCCCCTGCTGTCACCAAACAGCAGCTCTGCCAGGGATGTTCGATCAATATCCTTGACTTCCATCTATCTTTCAGACCAGACATATGTAGGATGTTGCCCAAATTCTACTGGTCAGTTAGTAACAGACAAGTCCCTTTTCAAGCACGGATGTTCAGATGGGCCAGCTTTCTTAGACGCAATATCTTAGGATTCATCCCCAGTCTAATACCTAAAGAAACACCCATGTTCTTGAATGTTCTTTCAGACATGACAAAACTGAACCTCTGAAATCCTTTGATTATTAGAAAGATCCCATAGAATATTTCTCAGGAATAGAGGGTGCCACGTAGTAATGGGCAAATCACTTTCAATAGAACAACAATTGATCCCCACTCCCCGAATCCTGTGTTCTAGCCAAATTGCAGCTGGGGTAATATATTCTGCTAATTCAAAATTACCTCTTGAGTTTCATCTAGAGAGGGTATTCTTGATTCACTGTTCTAAAAGCTTTGTGTAGTTCTGTTGGTGCACAACACGTGCCCTTCATCCCTAAGTGGTGGCTATATTATGTCCCTAATATATAGGGTCAAATTCTGCCCTAGTCTACAGGTGTGCCCTAACTGAACTCAGATGGTAAAGCAGTGGCATCCTTCAGTATAGACAGTGCTATATAAACTTACATAAAAATATATAAAATATACAAAAATAAATCACTAGGTGCTATTACAACACAAATAATGCATTTCCTCCCTTATCAAAAGTCTCACCCATATTTAGATACTGCTGTAAGGATTATTGACTGCCAGGAGGACACATTAAGATAAGGAACTCTACAAAGAGCTAACTCAGAGTACATTTAACTGTTAGATTATAAATGATTTGCAGTGAAACTACAGTAGGAAGAGATTAGAATTCCCCTCTGAGTCATTCTGATAGGTTTTTTCTTTGAAAAGAGTTAAGTGACCTCTTTTCTAAAAAAAAAATTCTCCCAAGGGTGCAAAGCTTGAGACAACCTTAACCGGTATCAATCTTGTCATTGGGCTGGAATGCTAGTTGGAGCCAGCCAATCATCTTTCAGGCTAAGGGTTTATATAGAGATGCACTTCCTCTGCAGAACAGTGAGAAACCGAGCACAGGGCTCAGATTGCTAAAGGACCTAACAAGACTAAACTTGCTGCTGAGACAGCACAGAACACTGCAAGCCTTCCGCATTGTTAGTGGAGTGGTAAGTGCAATGCCTTTACAATCTAACTGTATTTTATAAACATACATACAGCATGCCATGCCAGTTGGAACTGAGTGTCTGTTTTTTTAAAACCCACAGGCACAAGTTATATTTTTAGCAATTTGAAAGGTTAATTTCAATTGCTAGTTCCCACTCCAAACATCATATAATGCAACTTTAAAATATCTATCACTGCAGCCTGCAAGATTTTATGATTTGGGGTTCTAAAGAACTGAGCTTGCAAAATCAATGTTGGAATATCAATGACTGATGTTTCATTTTAAACTTGTTAAGAATTGCAGTCAACTAGTTCAATACAAATATTGTTTGTAAACAGAACAATAAGTTTTCTGCAATCTAAAATGGATTTGAAAAACGTGTATTTGTCTAGCTACCTGAGGAATGATTTATTTCTTGCAGTAGTATACTGGTGCTTCTTATACTTAAGGTACTCTAGACATTTTTACTTTTAGATATATGCCCCTGTTTTGGATTTTGGGGCATGTAATGTCTGATTGCAGGGGGGAGGAAAAACATTCCAATTAGCTGTGCTGATTTTCTTTAGAATGGTGAAAACAGCCATTTTATGATCATTTTTTTCCCTTCTTCCATCATGTTTTGTAAACCAATTTGTTTGTTTGTTTTTTTTAACTAGTCGCCTATAGGCAGATTACTATTAACATGCTATGCTGCCTTTGCTGTACATGCACAACTCCTCTGGCTGTCAGTGGCAACTGCATGTGCAGAACCAAGGCAGAATATGCCCCACCGTCTCTTATTTGCCAACTTTTTATACTGTAAATAAATGGGGGAGGGTGGAGAAAAAGGCTAGATTTTGAAAAGAATCCTATACAGGCACCTACCTGAAGAAGCCGGGTTTTCTAGAGTGCTCAGCAGCTCTGACTGAGAACAAATTAGCTACTTAAATGGGAGCGAAGCGCTCCTGAGACTGCAGCTGCAATTTTGGGTGCCGAGCACTTTGAAAATATGGCCATGAACTATTAAACACCCATTGAGACTAGGCAACCACAGTTGGACAGCAACCGAACAACATTGTCACTGAATTCTGTATTGGTGGCTCTTTTCTGCAGTTGTGGTTAAAGAGGGGAGCTCTCCACTTCCTGAGCCCCTCTACTCTTTTACTTGAGTTTATACAGATGAGTAGTTTTAAATTTGCACCAGGGAGAAGGATGCAAAATAATGTTACTGAACTGACCATGGTCGGGTGATTCGAGGTGAAGGTTGCAAGCAAATCCTTAGCTTAGAGCAAGTCACAAGAGTGGGTCTTTTTAGACTTGCCCAGCTTCCAGTTCCAGCTGCTAGGATAGAGGTCTCAAGAAACAAAAGCTTTCTAGCTCCAGGAAAGGTGTGAAGGAGCATTAGCAAAATAAATCTACAGGGAAGCTATCCTTTAAAACGAGTTTGAGACCAGGTTCAGACAACCAGCTCTCTTTTAGTTCATAGGAAAGAAGGGCAAATAGTCCATGCAACTTATTCTTTATTCCTTCTCCTAAGCGTACCGTTGTTTCATGCTGAAGTTCAAGCTGCTGGATGAACAACTGTAACCTAGCACTCCAAGACACAACACCACTTTAAGTTCCTCTTTTATTTTCAGAAGCAGAAATACTGCAGGTAGAAGAGGAACCAACCAAGTCACGACTTACCCAACGCCATGAAGTTATTCATCATTATCTCAGTTATGCTGGGGGCACTCGTCACAAGCCTAGAATCTGTAAGTTTCGCAACAAGCACAGCCACCCATTCAGCACAGATCCTGTTTATTTCCATTTTTGACCATATGATAAAAGCTTCCCCTTTCATCACTGAACTAGGCCTATTATTACCATCCTGCTTTCTGCCACATGTATGCACCAGGCTTTTTTCTATGACAACTGTGGTTTGAACCTTCTTTCCTGTAGTTGTCACCTATGATTCTACTGCCTACTATGGATATAGAGGAAAAACTAAGGTGGCTTCCTGGAGAGAACTTAAATGGGGATTAGACAGGATGGAGAGAGCAACAGCCTCTGACATTTTTGCTCTTAACGTTTTTTTCTTCTTAATTCTAGCACAATGCAGGACGTCAAGTACTAGGAATTAGCAGAGATTTAATGCAGAATATTAGTCTTTATTTGAATGCCCCCCGCAACCCCCACTCTGATTTTGGATATTTTGGCTCCTATCCGTTTGTATCACATAAGGCAATGCTGTCCATGCACATGGATGCAGCAAAAGCTTTCTGTAGCCAAGTCCTGCTTTTGCACTGACCAATCCCCTTCACTCCACGGGGCAGTGTACTAGGAATCTAATTCGGTCTTCTCCAGCTTTAGAGCAGAGGCCCCTGCCTGCAGTATAGTTCCAATGTGCCAGGCAGAGTCAGGATCTGGAACACCGGACAAGTAGAACTACTGCTGTATAGATCCATTGGCCATCACTACCATAGAGCAAGGATGCATCAGCAGCAGGGTTACCAAAAGCAAAGGGCTGCAGTGGTGGATGAGTCCTGTGCCTTTATTCCACTGTCTGGTGTAGGTGGATGGGAAGGAGGTGGATTTCCCCAATGACCCTTTGCTCACTGTCCGGTCATATAGGCTTGGTTTCTGAGGCAACTTTGGCCTTCTTAGCAGAACTGCAAAAGAAATGTTGATTTGGTACATTGAAGCAGTTGGGTGTTTGCATTCTACTTTACTGCAATAGACTTTTACTATATCCCCACTCATCCTACCTGGACTGCACTGAATGCCCCAAATTCTGCTGTCAGTTGCATGCATTTAACACTAACAAAGTCATTAGGGATGCAGGCATGCTGGAAGGAACAGAGCTAGGGCCTGTCTGTGTATACTCCAGAAACAGACAAAAGTGAGCACATAAAAAAAAGGAACAATCTGTAAGAAACTTTCCTTAAAAAAATAAACAAATTTGTATTTCCCCCCCTTAGGCTTTGACCAGGCAGCAGCGGCACATACTATCAAGCAAACATAAATCAGGACATCAAGGTAAATACTTGATATTTCTATTTCTGTCTCTCTAAAATCTGTGGCCAAAATACACTCCATGCACAATAATCACACAACACATACTAGATAACAAAATTCCTTTGGACTAGTTACATACTAAACATGCGTCAACTATCCTTCACTTTATGGATCTACTGAAGGATTTATAACTTTGGTTATTGGTGTCTTTTGCTTGCAGATTGTAACTGTGTAAATGGAGGAACCTGCATTTCTTATCAACTCTTTTCCCGGATTAACCGTTGCTTATGTCCAAAAGGATACAGTGGACAGCACTGTGAAATAGGTATGGTACAGTGGTTCCTCTCCCATTCTATATTCCACCTCCTTCCCTCCCCTACTGCCCATTTTCTAAATTTAAGGTGTTTCTAATCTCAGTTTCTATGCACCAATAGAAATGAAAGAACCATTGATAGAAACACAAATGGATATGCCTTAACTTGTATTAATGCATAAGGGGAAGGAGCAATGCCTAAATATTAGGAAAAAGACATCCAGGACTCTAGGGTTCTATTCTCTACTCTGTCACTAGCTAATCTTGAGAAGGTCACAAACTCTCTAAGGCTAGGTCTACACTACCCGCCTGAATCGGCGGGTAGAAATCGACCTCTCGGGGATCGATTTATCGCGTCCCATCAGGACGCGACAATCGATCCCCGAATCGACGCTCTTACTCCACCAGCGGAGGTGGGAGTAAGCGCCGTCGACAGAAAGCCGCAGAAGTCGATTTTGCCGCCGTCCTCACAGCGGGGTAAGTCGGCTGCGATACATCGAATTCAGCTACGCTATTCATGTAGCTGAATTTGCGTATCTTAAATCGACTCCCCCCTGTAGTGTAGATGTACCCTAATTCAGGTTACTAGTTTGTAAAATACAGTTGGTTTGTTTTACATTCTTCTTCAGAAATATTGTGAGACTTAGATTGTGAAATATGCCGAGATCCTTACATAAAAGGTGACAGATTTGATTCAAGACATGATTGTTGTGTATTTTCAGGAGAACCAAAACACATGTACATTTAGTCTAAGAGCTACATGTGTCGAACACAGCAACAAAGTGACATTCCAGTCCACATACTGACCTGTCTGTTGGCAAGTGTGTCAGTGACAGGAATCTCATCCTGCTTCTCATTAGAATGGAACCACCTGGCTTCTTTCCACTGTGGAATACTGTGAACAATCCAGAATATGCTGCCAACTTTGTGTTCATATTTCAGACACTGAAAGCCAATGCTATACTGAGAATGGTCAGGACTACAGAGGGACTATGTCAAAGAATGAGAAAAACGAAGAATGCTTAGCGTGGGACTCCCCTTCACTAATTAGGTGGGATTACCATGCTGGTGTGAGAAATGCCCTGCAGCTTGGACTGGGGAAACACAACTACTGCAGGTAATTCCTAAAGCTCTCACACCTGTTGGGCTGGTTATTCCCCAGAACACCTGGAGTGACAGGATGCATTCAGTGGAGTTTTCCAAGACTGCTTGCTAAAATTTGGACTTGGTCCTCCAAGGTGCCTAGCCCCCTTATTTTTCCACTGAAATTAATGGTATTTGGGTGCTCTCTGTACTTTGCTGTCTTGAGCCCTTCCATCAGGAGCCTTATAAAGAAGTACCAGTGCAGCAAATAATATGGATGAGCTGCAGGTTTTATGCATAAAATATTTGCTTTTGTCCTTCTGCAAATATACTTCTTTGACATGCTTGGCAATAAAAGACCCCTGACAACCCTCTTCAGGGGGAATTCAGGTTTTATTGAGTCACTAGCACTTAGAAGCACTGTTTACAAAAAGCATGTCTCCCTCATTTTCCAGAAACCCGGACGGAAAAGCTAAGCCCTGGTGTTACATTAAGAGGGGATATCGGACTTTGAAAACAGACTGTGACATACAACTGTGTCACACAGAAAGAGGTAAATTAGGATTTACTTGAAAATCACTTGGAGATTTGAAGTTGACTGTAACCCCCAGACTTCTACAAAAGAATGGTACAAGATATGTTGAGTGCGAAACAGAGGAGCAGGAGGGATCCTTTAGTTTTTAAGGCACCTTTTCACAGTACACAGTGAATTTCAAACTGGAGGCCCCTACTACAACTGGGGGCCAAATTCTTCTCCAAATTCTTCTGCAGCCCCACTAGCTTCCATAGATTATCTCTGAGTAGGATTCAACCCATAATATCCACCATTTCGAAATGTACATGCTCTTAAGGGCTAGATGGTGTGACTGAATGAGAACATCACAACACATTTTCTGGAAGATTTGTTGGACAGACGTAGTGGTATTTAAGCTAATTTTGGTGCTCACTTATCATTCTACGAGTGCACTCTATCTGAGCACACCTCCAACAAGTTTTTCCTTTCCTTTCACAGAACCCACGTGTGGCCAGAGAAGCTCCAGCAAGTACTTCAAGATCGTTGGCGGGAGCATTGCAACTATTGAGTCTCAGCCTTGGATAGCCACCATCTTCCATTATTCAAGGAAAATGGGGCAGAACAAATTTGTGTGCGGTGGCAGCCTCATTGACCCTTGCTGGGTGCTTACCGCTGCACACTGCTTCTCCCTACTGTAAGCACTCATTACCCCTCCTGTGTCTACTGCCGATTTATTTTTGCTTTGTTCCTTTGGGCAATGCCCCATGGCTAAAAACCACACACATGTAACTCAGCCACAGCAGGACTGTTCTTTCTTTAAGAGCAGGGAGAAGGTTAAGCCATTAGAAGCCATTAGAAACCTCTTAGCAAAAGGGAGATATTTTGCTAGAAAGCGGAGCTTTGAGGGTGAAGTTTAAAACAAATTCAGATAGCAATTTATCCCTCCCTTACAGTCAGGATTTTGTTCTAGCTCAGCTGTTTTCCCAAACTCAGAACTTGTTCTCTGACTGAGGTCTGCTTACCTCCTGCACAGAAAATTTGGCGATTGTGGAAAGCTGACTTTCCTCTGAATTCTAACAGCTTCAAGAGGTGTCATTGCCCAGAAAGCCCTGGACACCTATAGAACCAGCTGGAAACAAGAGAGCCAACATTCGGGCGGAGGTTTTTCTAAGTAGTTGAAGGGATTTGGACACCCAGTTTCCATTCATTTTAAACGAGGGAATCAAGAGCCCAAATCCATTAGAAAAGTGATTAGGCTCAGACTCTCAAAGGTGCCTACCTTCACTTTTCTACATTAAAAGTTGCTGTAGTTGACACAAGTCCTTTGAAACATGGAATGAGAAGGGAGAAGTTCACAGGACGCTAAGATGTTGTTCACATTATGAACCAAATTATTTTAAAAAAAACAAAACAAAAAAAACCTGTCCTTGCTCTCAGAAACCCGATAGTCTTCATGGCTCATTTATTTACTTTCTTCCCAGAGGAACGGATTCATCAGGCTACACAGTTGTTCTTGGAAAGTCCAAGCTGGATGCTAATGATGACAAAGAACAAACATTTCAGGTGGAAAGAATCATCAATCATCATGAATATTCAGATGAAAAAAGTGACTTCACTAATGATATTGGTAAGTGGTGTCCGAAATACATCTTTATAATCCTGAGCACATATGAAGTACACTGCTGTAATAGGGGTACTGATGCAGGAAGAAGCAATATCTAATAGTTGGAATAGGGGGATGCTAGGAGCCAGGCACTCCTGATAACTAGGCCTAGTTTTGGCTAGAATTCCCTCTTGGGCAAGTCAGTGTTTGTAAAGCACTTTGAAGATGTGAAGTGGAATGTAAATGATAAGTATCATTACATGGCACTTTCCAAGACTGTAGATCAAAATGGATTTCATATTGCCCTCTCCCCCCACAAAATACAGACATTACATTTCTATTTCCATTGTATGCAATACAGACTTGCTAGTTTTCACCTGCTACCCTCAACTCCATCATCCTTCCTCCAATTACCCATTAGAAAAGACAGACACCTTGTTTTCACAGGTCTAGGCTCAAAACAGCTGAAGTTTCAACCAATGTTTAAATCTGAAGGCAGCATCTAGTGGCTGAGTGCTGTAGTGCAACATAGCACATCCTCCTCCACAGACCCTCAGCTGGAGGGACAGTAGATGCCATCCCCACTCAAATCAGGGAGCTGTGCTCTTACAAAATGCTGAAAGAAGCACCTGGGGATTAACATCTCACTCAAGAGAAGACTCACCGCAGTTTTTTCATTCACTGTCACTCAGATGGATGAAATTAAAGGGTGAAAAACTTGCCAATTTCAATTTGGCAAAGATCTGTGTGACTAAAATAATAGTCTTTCTAAGTAAGGACCTCAGAATCAGGCCCCAGGTGTGTGATAGAATGCATGTGAATTACAACATTTGTTGGAAAGTTATTGTTCCAGCTGATAATTTTCCTACTTTACAATATTAACTGTAACCACTTTGATTTTTATGTAGCTCTCATGAAAATAAAGTCTGCTTCCGGACACTGTGCAGCAGAGTCTGAATATGTCAAAACTATCTGTTTACCGTCTGAAAACCTAGTACTGAGGGACAATTCCCAGTGTGAAGTTTCTGGCTATGGGAAAGAAGACAACTGTAAGTGAATATCATCTTAAATGTAAACTGATAGCATGAGGGCATATACGGCTAGTCAAGCTTGGGAATCTTCTATACTTCAGCTTTTCATCATAGCAACTCAAGTCTGCCCAGTATACAAAGCTAGGCACTGTGCTATGGGGGGGAATTGTCTAAAGTTCATTTTTTAATACAAAGTAGAAGCGAAGGTGAGGGGATTTTTTTTTTGTCTTGAGAATGACAGGACAAGTCAATGTGACCTGAGCATGGTGTATTAAAACTAAGCAGTCTCCAAAATAGATTTTAATTCATGTGTTTGGAACCACAGTCCTTCTGAGTAGTCCGACTTTCCCCCAACAATCAGTAGCTTTCTTCTTCACACCCTCTCCTGCTGCAGTTATCCATACACTGTGTGATCTCTCCCCTCTACCGGGATAGCTTTCCATCCCCTCTCCTGAAATCTCTAGCACCAGTTGTTCTTGGACATTTTTATTCTTGGGAGAATCCTTCTTTAAAACCTCGGCAGGAATGAGGAACAAAACATAGGTACTAGAAGAGAAGTATAAAAATCTTAAAACCAGGAGACAGAAGGTGACTATATGAAGAGCAGTGGCTGGGGATTTTCAAAGGGCCTAAGAGAATGGAGCTCACCTCTCACTGGGTACCTAACTCCCTTGGGCGCCTTTAAAAATTCCACCCTATAACAGCTGCAGCTTGCTGCAGTGCAGAAGAAGCACATGTCTGGGGCAGCACAGCTTGTGCATGTTATAGGAGTTTTAAAAGAAAGCCACGCAGTGCTACCAGTGTCCACTGAGACCCACCAAACTCAGATGAAACAATCACATTTACGCAAGTCAATGAGTCGTGCAGATTGGCTGCTTTGATGTGCCCCATCGTGCCAACAATTCAATAGTGTCTTCCTCCTTTTATGCCACACACTTTCTTTTGGGAATCTGAATCCCAGCACCATCTCTGACTCTCCATGTCAATTTCCCTTGATATGCCCCAGTTCTAGGAAGAACTCTTACCAAAATTACCTCACACCTCTATAAAACTACACAAATTAATACAAGAGACACAAAGCATGCCCCGTCTTCCATTCCTGCTGCAGACAAGAGTTGAAAGTTAGATTGGTCTTCTGCATGAATAAAGACTTCAGGTTTGACTCCACTAAGAGAAGTTATCAAGCCCTGTGTCTGTTTGAGAATCAGAAAATTCTAATGGAAACAATACTTTTTGCACCTTATTCATCTATTAAAAGTAAAAATAAAAACATTTGTTGTATAACAAAGATGTAGTACTCTCAAAACTGATATTTTGTGTGGACAAGTTAACTTCTGCTGCTGCATGAAGAGGGAACGTAACAGCATGAGGGTTTGTGGGGGAAAGCTAATCTAATCAAGCTCCTCTTGTTTGCAGGGGATATTTACTATTCCAAAATATTGAAGACAGCCAACGTGAACTTAATATCACAGTCATTGTGCCGGGACGAATACTATGACCAAACCAGGGTGAATGACAACATGGTGTGTGCTGGCGATGTGCAGTGGAAGTCTGATGCATGCAAGGTAGGAATGCTAACCTTTTGTTTTAAAACCATTTGCTGACAGAGTTTCTCTAACATAATCCACATGGTCTGTGTTAATGGTACATAGTTGGAATCTTTGAAGTCTACTGGCCTTGCAGAGAGGGACTGTGGGTCACTTTTTGAACAAGAACTCAGTTATTCAGCAGAGTTCACCCTGCTGTAGCCAGGTGTGATACAGAAAATATTCTGCTGGTGATGGAGGAGCAGCAATCTTTCCCCCCACCCCCCACCTCCTTCCAGCTTGTGAAGGAGCAGCAGTGCTGTTTCATGGCCTAGGGCTGTAACAGCTTCTGCAGCTACTGCATGGCCACTCTGTTGGAACAGCAGTGGGTGGATGTACACAGCAGTGGATCTGTCCTTGCTCTTCCCCAGTTTACTCTAGTTTCATTTAACCAGCTGTGCATGGATGTGAAAAGAACTATAGCAGAGCTGGTCTCCACAGCCTGGAGGAGATGCAGATCCATTCCACAGGTTCCTCAAATCCAGCTCTGTTCCACTCCACCCTCACACTGTGAACCAGGCTATGCACGGACTTGGAGGAGGAGGGAACAGGACTTGCCATTAGCACTAAAATTCTCTTATGGGCAGACACTTGAATATTTATTTCTCTTTTTCCAAGTGAGGGTGGAAGGGGAATGGCTTCTGATCCTTCAAGACATCCTGGCTTAGGCCTTCTATAACAAGAATGCTCCATGTACTAATCTAATGATACCAGACAGAGGACTTCATGTAATATAACTCATTCCCCTCTAGCCCATTGAGGGGGCCGCCTCTTCCCTTACAAATATAATGCTGACCATAAAAGCTACTTGAGCATTCTATCCTAGCTTTCCAGTATCCTCAAAAATCAGATTGTGATCTTTTTTATTTGCATTGTCAGGGAGATTCTGGTGGACCACTGGTCTGCGAGCACAATGGCAGGATGTCTCTGTATGGGATCGTCAGCTGGGGAGATGACTGTTCTAAAGAAAAGAGGCCCGGCGTCTACACCAGAGTCACTAAATACCTTTCTTGGATTGAGTCCCACATGAAGGGAGTCAATTTCAAAAGCCGTAGCCTCCCTAAATGAAAGTGACCTTTCCTCAAGGCATGGACCTAAAGCAGGAAGTCTAGAGCATTAATTTCAAATAACTGGAACTGAGCCACATATCGATGCAGTACATTGAAACCCTGAATGTTAGTTTGGAGTTGATTTGTGCATGTTTGTCTCTCGGGTCTTCAATTTAAATGCCTATGTGATTTGTTTTCAACATTCATAGCAGGGTATCTGAAGCAGACAGATAATCTGTATCTCCATTGGCCACTGCATGGAGTACCTGAAAGTCTTTCCATGGAAGACTCAAATATTTAACATTGAAATGCATATTTCCAGTCAAGATACTGTACATGTCACGTTGTCTCCCTATTTTATATCTGAATCACTATTAGTCACTTTTATAAGTACCTACACAAGTTTTATC